TTCATTGATGAAAAGTTCACATATGGACCCCTGAAGATGTGTCGGAATGCATAAGAGTCATCCACCATGGCTGTTTTCGCTAAAAGCAGGAAAATGATTAACCAACGTAATCCATTTAATCCGTTCACTTTATCGATTTCTAATCCTCCACTTAGCATATTAACAACGACGTTAACATAATAATATACACACATGCGTCGGACGGCGAAAAAGCTTTTATTTATCAGCATACAAACTTGTGTACCACAAGCACACTGCCAAAAATCATTGATCGCGGTTGCGGATCGGACGCCAGAGAGGTTGAGGCCAGTCGAGCTGAATGAATAAGTGAGCAGGTAAACTAAATTTCCAGAGTAACTAGGCTCGCACTTTCTCTGAGTTTGTATACCTGCTGGACTGTGAGGAATTGTTGTCCAGCTATCCTCACTGCACACCAGTCGTTGTGTTGGGTGCATTTGGTTGGTTTTGGTATAAGACCATGGTCCAGGTGAGTCCTCGTTGGTCATTTCATCCCATCTAGGACGTAGGAAGTTCCTCAGTCCAGTCCCGTATCTCAATAAAGTTCCTGACCTCGAAGAAATGGCAAAGAGAGAACATTTTGAGAGAAGACCTGAAAAGACAATTACAGAACCAAGCAGTGTGAAAATCCTAACTTAAGCCATTCAAACGTGAGAAGAAAGCATATATGATGTGCAAAAGATATTATGCTGAAATGTTTCTGCATTATGCAACAAAAGGCATGGTCCAATTGGTAAAGTACTGTAACATGCATGAAGAACTATAGCATGGTTCCGGTAATCTGTCAACGTGGTATAAGTTAAAGGGGTTGGGACTAATGTGTGGGAAGCAAGAAGACGGTTCAAAGACGTGTGGCGATCGAATGGTGAATAACCAACAGAAGGTCAACCTATAAACCATTAGTTGTAGAACATGATGACGCATCGGCCTTTCAATAGCTTAGATGCTCCACTTGAAGGTGGAATGCTACTGTGTCAAAAGCATGCCAGATGAGCGCATAGAACAGTGAGGGAAACCGCCGGCTTAACTCCGTAGCAGAAGCCGCTCTATACTAAGTGAATAAAAAACCTGGACTGCTGAGCAGTCAGTTAAGTTGATGCGGGTTAGAGGGAAGAAAGAAAGGCCGTAGGTGTAGAAAGGATTGGATCGAATAACTAGTAATACTATCAAACCAGCAGTTGTAGAATAGCACGGTGCGTCGGCGCATCAATAGATTAGGTGAAATACCGAGGGTGGAATGCTAAGGTGTCGAAAGAAAGCCATATGGTCGCAGAACACATTGTGGATAAGAGCCGAAGTAAAAACGAGGCAAAAGCTACTCGTTGTTGAGAGATTAGGGGAACATGACTTGCCTGACATTCAGTTATGTGGAGGAGGATTAAGTGAAAGAGGACAGGCCGAAGCAGGAGGGAAGGTTAGGTGGCGAAACTAGAAAAACTATGAACGAACAATTGTGAAATGGGTTGGCGCATCGGTGCTTCAGTAGGTTAGGTGAACCACCCAAAGGTGGGATTCTACGGTGTCCAAAGGAAGTCAGATGGACGCGAAGAGCGATGGAGATAAGATCCGGATTAAGTATATAGCAGAAGCCACCCTTTATTATGTGGTTAAGGGAAGACGGGCTGCCGAGTAGTCCGTTAAGCGGAGGAGCGTTAGAATGAAAGAAGACAGGCCGTGGCAATTAAGCGACGGAACGATAGTTGGAAGGAGCTGCCGTCGTCTGGTGGATTTAGTCACTGGCTGCATTAAAAACAATCAGGAAATTAGCAGTCAAGTTTTAAAGAAAAGCGATTGCTTTGAGCTTCCATTAGCCCAGAATGGGAAAACGAAGACCTTTGTATTACAATCACGTTCAGGCTAAATATCTTTAAGAGATGAGGTTGATAACCTTACCATGGAGCGTGGAAGTAATGCTACAGAAGACGTGGATAAGGCAGAGGTGTTGCTGCGCGTCTTTCAGCAAGTGCATCTTGCGGGTGAGGGGCTTCCAGTCCCTTTAAACCACATCGTCAAACCGGGAGTACTATGCCAGTCATTCCGCTGCCAGTATCAGTAGTCTTTAGTGCACTTGCTAGCATAGACCCCAACAAACCGGCGAGACTAGACAAGGTGCTGCATGCGATTGTCAAATGACTCGCGGACATAATCCAACAACCGGTCTGGGGGCTCGCCAACACGTCACTTCGAGAAGGCAGATTACCACAAGAGGCACCTGTATTGTCGATACACAAGGGAGGTTCTAAACCTGTACCATCAACTATAGGCCTGTTAACCTCGAAAGCGTGTTGCGTAAATAGTTGGAGAAGCTTATTAGAAGTCGAATTTGTGAGTACGTAGTAGCGCATAACTTGATACGAGTGGAACAACACGGCTTTGTTAGAAAGAAGTCATGTATTGCCAAATTAGTGGGCCGCTTGGATGAAGCAATACGTTGTCGTGCTAATGGGATTTCAGTAAAGGTTCGCTATCGAATTCAGGAAGGTCTTTGATTCGGTAAATCACCGTTTCCTATTAAGGAAGGTGGCCTGGCTTGGGATTCATCCTCAGTTGTTGACTTAGATGTCGGCATTTCAGTTAGAAAGAACCTTCCCAGTTAGAGTCGGTGATGCCATCTCAAGCGTGGGCACCGTTCACAGAGAAGCTCCCCAGAGCTCTGTTGTAAGTCCCCTGTTATTCCCCATATTCATAAATGACTTGGTACCG